AACACATCATATCCGACGTAAAATTTGATGTTCTTTCAGAATATGGCTTCAGAATTTGTCTAAAGTCACTGCTAAAAAAGTTATAATTAAATATTTGCAAAAGAAAGCGATTTTTTCAACTTAAAAAGATTTTTTATTCAAAATTTTTTTAAGAAATTGATAAAGATGCACATCTTTTTACAGCTAGAAACGTGTCCTCGAGTCCTAAATTTTAAGACATATGGGGTACAAAATAAAAAATCCAACATGGCGGTTCTCAAAATGGCGTCCGAAGTGATAATTTTTTTGAAAAATTTCAGGATGCTATAACTTGAAAACTATGAGCTTTTCTGAAAAAATGCTTAGAATGAAAAGTTCTTAGAATTCATCAAGAAATACACTGGAATTTTTTCAGATTTTTTTTCATGAAATTTTGAAAATTTTTTTTTTTTGGATTTTTGAAAATATTTAAAAATTTATAAAAAATTCTGGAAAAATTCCAGTGTATTTTTTGATGAATTCTAAGTATTTTTTGTTCTTTCTAATTTTTTCCAAAAGTTGATAGTTTTCGAGAAAAAAAATCATAAACATGTTATATATATGCATGTATATACTATATATAACATGTTTATGATTTTTTTTCTCGAAAACTATCAACTTTTGGAAAAAATTAGAAAGAACAAAAAATACTTAGAATTCATCAAAAAATACACTGGAATTTTTCCAGAATTTTTTATAAATTTTGAAATATTTTCAAAAATCCAAAAAAAAAAAATTTTCAAAATTTCATGAAAAAAAATCTGAAAAAATTCCAGTGTATTTCTTGATGAATTCTAAGAACTTTTCATTCTAAGCATTTTTTCAGAAAAGCTCATAGTTTTCAAGTTATAGCATCCTGAAATTTTTCGAATCCGGGATAAAAAATGGTGGTCCCTATTCAAAATATCTCTTGGTTATTGGGTTATTGGGGTTATTGGGGTTATCGAGTTATTGGGTATTGGAGTTATTGGGTTATTACAATTAACCTTACTCTTGCCCGGTCATTCCTGTGCATAGAAGAAGAAAATCATAAATTTGACCTCTACATGACTTTAGGCGAGGGGGGGGGGGGGGTAACCGCACCCCACACTTAATACGTTATCTGAACGTAGAATTTTCCGCTCTTTCCGAATCCGGGATCAAAAATATAGGTTCATATTCAAAAAATTACTTTGACCTTCAAATGACCTTGAAAATAAATCTCAAGGTCAAATCGGATTTCACAGAAAGGTTGCCCCCATTGTCCCAAACAACTGTTGTCTGAACAATTTTTTTGTACAACACCAACCGTCGAAAATTTCGGGGTAGTTCCTTTAAAATGGGACACCCTGTATTTTTAACGCTTCTATTATTGTTAGTATTGCTTACTCTTCGAATTTTATTGTACATTGCACAGGCAAAAGATGTTTTTACTAACATCCTATCACGTTGTTAATTATGTTTTACTATCATAAAATTTAACTTAGTTATTACCCGGTAGCACGCACCATTGACTTTATTTCCGAATGAAGTTGGTAAATATACGCGCGTAATGAGTTATAATATGTAGATTGATATATAATTGATAGAGTCCAATTAAAAAAAATGTATACGTCATTTACTGAAAGCGGAACAATTTAGAAACATATATAAAAAAACATGCTATTATTAGTAAACGTAATATAAGAAATATATTTATTACTATTATATGTATAAAAAAAAATACATAAAATTTATGCTAAATTTCAATATGTTACAATCATAAAAAAGTAAAAGAAGAGATCAAATGAAGATATACGATTGAAATGAAAAAAAATTGAATCGAACGGGAATCGAACCCGCGGTAGGGTAAACGAAAGCATAAGGCGTGCGCCTTAGCTATATCGGCTATTGGCGCATTAAGTATTTTAGTCATGAGAGTTACTTATGTTCATAAAGGAGCATAGGGTTTTAAGATTAAATACTTGTGCTTAGTCAATAGTAAAAAGCTTCATTATTCCGGCATTGATCTGAAATCTACATAATTACCGATAATTTTACTTAAGCTAAGCGTAAACTCGAGCGGGGTTCGAAAGTCTAAAATGCTTCCGAGCGAGCGAGTAAGCGCACACCGTTGCTCTACCCCTTTTAGTCAACTGTAGCCAGACGCACGTTCCCCTCACTCGGAAGACGCACGTTTGTATATCCCTTCCACAGCTGAGAGGGAAACGTGCGTCCAGTTCGACGCTTGGCCAATACGGGGCGCTCGAACCAGTCGCCCAAATCTGGCACTCTCTAAAGCATTGCGGTTAGCAATCTCTCAACTAATCTCTGCCTTCATGTTCGACCGAACTTGGCGTGCTTTTTTCGGTCTTGGCTCATGCGGCACCTTCCATTGGGATGATTGAGCTTTGCTTTCAACATCATGAGCATAAACTCATGATTCATCACTAGTTATAATCCTCTGGAGAACATTTGGATCATCATGGACCGAGTCCAAGATCTTTTGAGCAATGTTAACACGATGTTGTTTTTGATCGAAATTGAGCAGTTTAGGCACGAATTTTACGGTGACCAGATTCATGCCCAAATCATTGGTTAAAATCGAATGGCATGAGCCAATTGATATGTTTAAATCCTTAGAAAATTCTCTAACGTTGGTTCGACGATTGGCCAATACTATTTTTTTTTCACTTTATCAATGTTTTCGTCTGTTGTTGACGTGCTCAGGCGTCCAGCATGTTGTTCGTCGTTCACATCTTCTTGGCCCTCTGAGAACATTGTGTACCACCGATAAATGTTGCTTTGGTCCAAAGTAGCTTCACCATATACTACAGTCAACATTCCGAATACGTCCGCGCACTTTATTTTGTTTTTCATAGAAAATTTGATACAGATTCTTTGATCCATTTTTTAGAATAGGCAAAAATCGAAGACGAGCCAAAACACATCCAAGCAAAGCAGCTGTAAAAAATTAACTAAACATGCAAAATGGCCGACCTTGTCAGTATAAATAAGGGACATGAGTACCAACATAACGCTACAAAAAAATCAAATTTACGTAGCCCGCGGAAATTCAAAATTCGCGATACTTTTTTAACAGACCTCATATATGAAGTGACGCCGTTTAATATACTAATTGATGTAAGTAGATTCACGAGTTTAGCGGGTTGCAGTAATTCAGTGAAAATAAAAGAAGAGCTTAAAAATAGGACTGTTACCAATACATTTGAAAAAGCTGTCATAAAAATGGTGAAATTCACTGTTTTGATTCGAAATAAAACTAAAATGATCTCTTCAAAAACACTGGCACACAAAGAAGTAGTGATTTGTTTCAAAAACGATATACAGTGCCGGCCAATAATTTTAACACAATCATTTTGAAGTTCTCTCTAAAAGCTTTCTTTCCTATTTCCTTAACTTTTTCAGGGGTGCTTTTACAAATATTAAAACGAGTAAGAAACTTCAGAAATTTATGCTCTTTTTAAGTTTTATTCAATCAGCAGTGGTTTTTTTAATGTTGAAGAAAGAATACTTCTAAAAAAAGATTCTGAAAGGGTTTGAAAAATGCTATTTGAAACTATTTAAAAAAAAATGTATCGTCAATTTATAGCAAAGTTTTGAGCTCGTAAAGTTACCGATTTTATACTTGCGTTGTTGAAAAAATGTAGAAAGCAAGTTTTTTGGTATCTCGACGATTTGCTGGTAGTTAGCGCGGATTTCGATAGCCACGTGACTTGGTTAGAGAAGGTTTTAAAGCATTTAGTAAGTGTCGGTCTAGAAATCAACTTAGAAAATTCTGATTTCTTCTGTACCGAGGTAACTTGTTTAGGATACAGGTTAGATAGCGAGGGTTTGTGTCCGGATGAGGACAAAGTAAAGCCAATAACCGACCGTTTATTTTTGACTGAATAAAATAACAGACGATTTATTTTTTATAGATAACTTTTTTCTTTTTTCATACATTTCAGCGTTTATAATGAATAGTTATAACGACATCAAAATCAATAATAAGCCAACGGTTATTTTTTACTTGCTTTCTAAATTTTTCCATGTATTTTGTCACTTGAATTCGAATCCCCAGTCAATTTGACCCCACCACAAGTTTTTAGGTATATTTTTCATTTTTTTTTATCGCAACTAGTACGTTCTTGAGAATCAGTATGGCGATTTTAAAAATACAAAAGTATGCCTTTATGAAATCAGGTAAATATTTTCAAATGTTTTGATGGTCGTTGAATCCGAATCTGCGCTCTGTTTCACCATAGCACGTAGGTTCAAGGGCATTTTTTATTTTTGAAATCGTCATACTGATTCTCAATATATTATCATTTAATGACCTTGAAATGACATAGAATGTCACGATAAAAAAAATGAAAAATATTATACTTGAATAAAATTTTTTGTACTTTCAAAATATGCAGTCAAAATTTAACTTTTTGCATAATATGCACATTTCATCCTTACTGGTGAGTCTTATCTGACAAAAAAATTTGGAAAAAGACGTCTAAGGAAGCTATCACATATATGATAGGCCCAGACGAAACGCTCGAAACGAAATAACGAGATAAGCATAGGACATGATGTTCAGGCGTCTGGGTGACCCCCAAGTTCGACGAGACACTATCTTCGAGAACATGCACCAGTTATATGGTTTTTCCGTCGAAAAACGTCTACTTACCAAGGAAACGATGTCTTGGTATTAGGGTGACCATCCAGGTCAATGAAACACCATCTCCGAAAATGTGCACTAGGTACATAATGTTTCCATCAAAAAATCTCGACTCATTCAGGAGACGATGTTCTGGTGGCAGGGTGACACCCACGTTGCAAAATGCAGGCATTGGGATGATTTTTCAGATATTGTATCACCGGGATATGCAGCTCTCATTGCAATTTTCCCAATATGTAAGCGTACGAAAGAACAGATTGACGGGCATAATTAGGTTTGTCACTTTAATATAATGTAAGATTTGTAACTTGAAAAGAAAAAAAATGAAACCATTTAAAACGTTCATTATCATAACTTTCTTTATTAGACTTATTTTTCCACCATATTAAAAAAATGTATAATTTACACTATTCAATATCAGTTAACTCCTCAATTTAAAGAATTCTCAGTAGCGTACAAGCTTAAAAATAATCTTTTTGATACACGGTATGGAAACCGTCCATCATATTGAAAAATATTGTGTCTAATCTCTTCTAGAAAGAGTTTTTTGTTTTATGTAGTTCCGTCCTCGTGTTGTTTAAAAACTATCATAAAATACTCACCATTTGTAAAACTACTTTACTGAAAATTGTTTATGCTATTTACTGTTCAAAAATAAAGGTAAACAACGATTGAATGCATTTGACAATGAAAATAAGCCGTTTACATTTCATAGTTCAATATATATTATAAAATTACTTATTTAATAGATATAATCTTTCTATTATATTTCCTACCCTTATACAACATACCTGTATCGATAAAAAACATTTCGATTAAATAAAAATACAAAAAATAAAATAATAGGAAATAGTATAGGAAGTAAACAGAGTAATTTAGAAATTCTTCAATTTCAACGATCGAACTATGAAGTACTACTAAATAAAGAACAATAGCCTTTTAATAATTGTAAGGATATTTTGAACGCAAACGTCGACCTCTTGATCCTCGAGCTCGTATATTTTCATTGGTAGAACCTCTAGATGAATGTCCTCGATTAGTACTTGAACCTACAATATAAAATATTATTCTGTATTATTTGAATGCCACAATATATATATATTTATACATATATATCAGAATTAAACATTTTTTATGTTCACTTCTTTATAATGCATGCTTAAACCTTTGAATCTACTGCACATAAAAATATGCAAACATCAGATAAAATATGGACCTTACGAAAATACAAATATATCATTTCTAATGTTATGGGAACATTTTTATATATTTTTATTTTATTTATTGACCAGAGAGAATGTACATAAATTATATAAATGTATTTAGTTTACGTTGTTTATTTTAACCGATAGGTCGATTATATTATCATAATTAATGCCGATTTCTAGTCTAAGCGACTTCATTAATAATGTGCATCCGTTAAAAAGCGGACGTCTTAGGTCTGTTTTCAGCTTAAGTATTGCGAATATATCAATTTAACGGTATATAGACTTAAAAGATATTTATATTTAAAAATGGAATCGTATTTTGTCAGAGAGGTTGGGTTTAAACATGTTTGTCAGGCTGCAAAAGTTTAGATTTTCCTGTGGCAAGAGTTTAAGGACAGAGATTGTTTAACCATTAACGGCTGGCTAATTACATCCGGTTATTCGACACTCTGAAGGGACGATTGGGCGATACTTTGGTGACTAGAGGCAATGCACTAAACCTTAACTATCCAATAAGGCAAAAGAATACTCATATGAAGGGAGACTCCCGGAATTGTACGCGAATGTGGAAAGTGTGAGTGGTCGAAACTATCGACTTCGAGAATAGATTGGACACATTCAGCAACAACTGAAAGAAAACCAAACAATGTGAAACAACCCACAGCACAGAAAATATTTCTGAAAGGTTTTTGAGAAATATTTTCTATAAAATATTATTTTTTGTTTCACGAAACCTTTTCCGTAATATTTTAGAAATTGTAACGGGGTGGATTAGCTAGTACAATAGGATATATTAAAGCGCAAACTCCCACGATGCAGAGCTAACCGCCGCTCCATTAAACACGTATGGTCATACGTGTATTCGCCTTGACGTTTGATACTTTCGTTTCAGTGTCCTCTTTTCAACCGAGTTGAACTCATCTTAAGTGACTTGACTTTTGACACTCGAACTATCTTCAGTATGAATGACTTAATGCCTAATCCGCCTAATCCCTTGAACGAAATCGGATTAAGACTTAAGCCTTTATACGAGGGTGGTTCGATAAGTACTTAGCCTACAAAAGAAAAACGAAAATTTTGGAAAAGTGGCGTTTTATTTTTCAACATAGTCTCCGTTTAGTTCGATACACTTGGCCCAGCGATGCTCCAACTTCTTTAACCCGTCTGAAAAATACGTTTCCCCGAGGTCTGAAAAGTAGGCTTCCGTGGCAGCGATTACCTCCTCATTCGACTCCAATTTCTGCCCGGCGAGTGACTTTTTCAAGTTTGGAAACAAAAAGAAGTCGCACGGGGCTAAATCTGGAGAATACGGTGGATGTGGCAGCAGTTCATAGCCTAATTCGACCAATTGGGCCATGGCGACGGCGGAGATGTGAGCTGGTGCGTTGTCACGGTGGAAGAGCACTTTTTTCTTCGCCAAATGGGGCCGTTTTTTCTTCTATTCGACGTCGAATCGACCCAATAATTCGGCATAGTACAGCCCTGTGACCATTTTGCCCCTCTCCAGGTAGTCGATGTAGATCACACCTTGCGAATCCCAGAAAACGGTGGCCATCACCTTTCCGGCTGATGGGGCAGTCTTCGCCTTCTTCGGAGCACTTTCGCCGGGTAAAGTCCACTGTTTCGACTGTTCCTTGGTCTCTGGTGTACACCAGTGGATCCATGTTTCGCCGACTGTCACGAAACGACGCAGAAACTCCTTCGGATTGCGCTTAAACAGCGTCAGACATTGCTCTGAAGTTGTCTCACGGTTGCGCTTGTTGTCCGGAGTGAGCAAACACGGCCCCCATCGCGTCGACAGCTTTCTCATGCCCAAAATTTCATGCAGAACATGACCCATGCGGTCTTTTGAGATGCCTACGATCATAGCTATCTCGCGCACCTTCAATCGTCGATCTGCCAATACGAGATCGTGAATTTTTGTCACATTATCCTCCGTGGTAGCCGTTTTCGGAGCACCTGGACGTGGCTCTTCAAAAGTCGACGTGCGACCACGTTGAAACTCGTTAAACGAATTTTTGACGGTCCCCATCGAAGGAGAAGAGTCACCGTACACAGCATCGAAGCGCTTTTTGATTTCGCTGCGCGATTTCCCTTCCAAAAACAAGAATCGAATCACCGACCGATACTGCCCTTTTTCCATTTTTAAAAAATCAACAGACACACTTGCTTTCACACGCTCTCAAAATTAAACTACAACTTCGATCCAGCTAAAATCTTGACAGTAACCATCGAGAAGGTTGTACTACGTGATAGAATATTTCTTTTGCGAGAGTGGCGCAATCGGGCGGTGAGGCTAAGTATTTATCGGACCACCCTCGTAGACTTATTAACTATTAGGGAACGAAATAACGTAAGCGGCGAATAAAATTAACAAAGTCTAATTAATATAAAATTATAGTCTTTTATGGGCCGAAAGACTAACGTACGTGATATAGGATTTATAATTATTACTAATAAGTTGGTGAGAGAGAGAAAGAGAGAGAGAGAATTCGAAAATTGCCGCGAAATCTAACGCTCGGCGCGAATACCAAAAATTCGCTCGCGATTGACAAAATACTTTCGAAAGTATTTCGTCGCGCAATAATAAAGGGAGATACACCTACCCTGCGGTGCAATTACGGTGATCAGCCTTAATTGTTGTAGAAAATCAACGGTCGATGCTCCTCAAATATCAGTTGTGCTGCCTCGTTCAAAAATCTGCTGCTGCTTGCTGCTGCGGTAATGCGGCTGCTTCCTCGCTACACTCACGCACGTATCAAAATTCCAGAAACTTTATAATAAATAACGGTGAATAACTGTGTAAACTAATTGGCGGTACTCTCACGAAATCAGCTGAGGCTTAACTGCCTATTTTCAAAACCTCGCGCGCCCTCTCTCTTTCTCTCTTAGTTGTTCGAACTAACATCGCGAGTAGACGAATCGCGAATGGATCGATTAATCAAATCGACTACCGTTGCAGTTGTAAAACGGTGGTTTCTGCCGATTAACAGGTCACCATGGTACTGGCGGTTTAGGCGATTGAAAGGAAATGAGGGCGCCAGGCACTTCTATGTCTAGGTATCAGTATTACTCGAATTACCTAGACCCCGGAGGGGTGCCACTCTGTATAGTTATTCAGATCAAATAATTTAATTCTAGATAATAAATTTGGCGGACGCGAAGTGCTAAGGTCAAGACCGGCTTTGAATGATTGAGTTGAGCGTAATCAAGGTCGCGGTTACTCCGATAGCAAATAGTCGGATTAACTTATTTTCTTCTACTTTCCTTAGTCTATTGTTTTTCGCAGGGATTATGACGCGCTTAATAGGGTAAATATAAGAGCGGGAGGTGAAGAGTAGGAAACTATGATATTTACACGGCTGATAAATTTTGATATAAAAGTTGAGCCTTTTACTGACCAATTCAAAACGTGTAATTGTTAGTGTGGAATTTACAAAATAAAAATTATGTAAAGTGTAGCGTGTTGTATGAGTGTGTTGGCTCGGTACTTAAAATTAATAACAATGATAAGTTGCGAAGTTATTTATAATACGCTAATGAGAAATTACAAAGAAACTGATAATTTAAAATACGTTATAACGGGGTTGTTACTAGCCCGCGTTATTTCGCGAGAGAACAGAAAATATTAAATGCAGCTCGTTCTGGGCATACAATAACCGCTCGAGGCTATGCCTGGATACTCAGTTATGCCTTAAGGCCCGCGGGAGCGTCGTGGATCCAGCAGCTAATCTTCGTATTAATTCGTCGACGGGGAAACGTGGAAGGTTGTAGAGATAGGTGTAAATAAGAGGAAGGCGTACATAAGATAAAACGACGTTTATATAATACAAGGGTTTACAAGGAATGCCGCGTAGCGATAAAGAGAGAGAGAATAACAAGCCAGCGAGAGAGAGACAGAAGACACGAGAAGGTACTTACATAGGACGATAGTACCACAGACTAGTCCTACTTGACGCTCAATCACTGCGAATCTGGCGACTGCCTAGTACCCGCTTACTCCCACACACACTCTCTCACACTACACTCTCGATACGCAAATTACGATTGATAGTTTCTCCTCTGATCTGCCACAAGGCCAAGTAGAGGGTCGGAAAAAGTAGTTGTCAGTCTTCAATACGAAAGTCGGCCGGCGAGAACACGTGTACTTTCGGACGCGGTCAATAAGCTAGTGTCGCGGAAGAGCCCCCCACTCTCTCTCTCCTTCTCTGCCGAGCATATGTTGGTTCTAATCGCTCCACAGTCTCTGCTTTCGCACATGAAAATACCTTCCGTTTGAGCCTACGCAAGTCTATACTCCCTCTCGCTAGTTCGCGTTGTATTGTATGTACTCTCTCTCTCCTACCTTATACTCTATTGCCCGCTGCTGCTGCGACTTCTAGACATCGTACGTAAATTAATGCAATATCAAATAAAGAATTATGTGTAAGCATATAGGTACATAAATAAATATAGTCGTCTGAGAAAGAGAGACATAACGAGCGATTTATCACACGTTATAACGTAATAAAATTAATACTAGAATCGCGTGAGCGCTAATCAGTACTCCATATTGCTTTTACGTTAACATTGATATTCAATTGAGAACCGGCACGCAATACCTTCCGTTAAATAGTGAGAGGAATTGCTTAAAAATTAAGGCTGGCTGAATTACAAATCTTGTGGTACTCACTCTACGGTAATGGAGGTGTAATTCCGAGTTTATAATAAAATCTCTGTCTTCCAGGGCTTCCAGTAATTAAATATAATTTTCTACAAATGTCCCGGCAATTCCACAGGCAATTATTAATTATGAAAATTATTCTGACAATAAATCCTGGATAGTTGTTTTACAATTTATA